GGAATGGCTTCTTACAGAAGACCAGAATATCTTCTTATAGCAGAACAAAAGGTCTTCTTATAGAAGACCAATATGTCTTCATATAGAAGACTTGGAGTTCTTCATATAGAAGACCAAGGGGTCTAGAAGACCTGGAGTTATTCATATTGGTCCGCTTCTTATAGAGAACCATGAGGTCTTATAAAAGATTAATAGGACATTTTATAAAAGGCAATATGTCGTTTGTATAGAAGTACAGAGGGTCTTCCTTTAGAAGATCCGGTCTTCTTGAAGATGAACAAAAGATCTTGTTGAAGATGACTAGAAGGTCTTGTAGTAGACCAGAAGGTCTGCTTATGACAAAAGACCGGAAGGTCTTCTTCTTTTATAAACGTCCAGAAGATCTTATAGAAGACCATATGGTATTCATATAGGATATCAAAATAATTTATATTTTTTTCGTCGAATCAAACACATTGTAACGGATCACTTTTTCCACTCCGATTGAAAACCTCCAGAACCTCTTCTGGACTACAAATTGTTTTTTGAGAAATACAAATAGGTCCTTGGGTCATTGTCATTGTGCACAATCACATCTTCTCGTTAGTGTGCAAATAATCTCCACATTTGGTCAAAATTAAATAAATGTTGGACCCTATCTAATTATTCAGTATATAGTGCTTCAATACTCGGAGGATATCAACATGTTCGAATGAGATTCATTGCTACTTTCCCTACGAAATATAATATTTCTTCAAATGCATTCCTATATCAAATTTTCCAATTTATGCACTCTCTGAATCACTACTCAATATTACCCTGAATTCAGAAAAAAATAGCAACCCCATCATGCATACGACGAGTATTGTGCACATAACAAAAAACGGAATGTCCACTTCTCTATTTCATCATAACACTCAACGTAATTGAACATTCTTCAATACTCTATGGTCTGTTGGTTGGTTGCTATATATCATTGAAGAACATGAGCAGCAGGCAGGCAACAGCAACAAAAACTAGGAATATACCGAGCCAGGGAATTAAAATTTCCTGCTGCTGAAGATACCAGAGACCAATGGGTGAATTGTATTACGTACGTCCATCCATTCCATACGCATGGAGAGATTGCTGCTGCCGCCAACAAAATCTGTGCACACACAAAAGTGCAAGAGAAACTATTCAAATAAAGTGTTTAATTTAATTTATGACCCCTACCGACCAGTGTGCTTGTTGCTATTGCTCTGACGACTATGTGTGGGCTATGGAAAAACCCAGTTGATTATTTTTCTTGCATGCAATGCAATACTACTATACCGGATGACACACCCGGGATAGTTGGATGGGGAAAAATTGTATATTTTTAATGAAGAAAAATGCAGTGGAAGAAATCTTTGGGGGCAACATGGGATATATGGAATGTATGAAGAGTGGTATGAAGGAGATCCATGAAAAAGGAAAACACAGATAAAGAGAAAATTTTAATGCTTCGTATATAATTCGAAGAGGCCTTGTCATAGAAAAGCTCAAGGTCTTCTTTCATAGAAGAGCTGAAGGTCTTCCTTAAAAGAAGAGCTGTTGAAGGTCTTCTTCATAGAAGAGCTATTGAGGGTTTTCTTCATAGAGAAGCTGTTGAAGGTCTTCTTCATATAAAGTATGTTGAAGGTCTCCTTCATAGAAGGGATGTTGAAGGTTTTATTCATAGGAGAGCTGATGAAGTTATTCTTCATATAAGAGCTGATAAAGGTCTTCTTCATAGAAGACCAGAAGGTATTCTTCATATAAGAGCTGATAAAGGCCTTTTTCATAGAAGACCAGAAGTTTTTTTCACAGAAGACCTTCTTCATAGAAGACCAGGATATCTTCTTCATAGAAGACCAGAAGGTTTTCTTTATAGAACACCAGGAGGTCTTCTTCTTCATAGAAGATCAGAAGACCAGAAGGTATTCTTCATAGAAGACCAGAAGGTCTTCTTCATAGAAGACCAGAAGGTCTTCTTCATAGAAGACCAGAAGGTCTTCTTCATAGAAGACCAGAAGGTCTTCTTCATAGAAGACCAGAAGGTCTTCTTCATAGAAGACCAGAAGGTCTTCTTCATAGAAGACCAGAAGGCCTTCTTCGTAGAAGACCAGAAGGTCTTCTTCATAGAAGACCAGAAAGTCTTCTTTATAGAAGACCAGAAGGTCTTCTTCATAGAAGACCAGAAGGTCTTCTTCATAGAAGACCAGAAGGTCTTCTTCATAGAAGACCAGAAGGTCTTCTTCATAGAAGACCAGAAGGTCTTCTTCATAGAAGACCAGAAGGTCTTCTTCATAGAAGACCAGAAGGTCTTCTTCATAGAAGACCAGAAGGTCTTCTTCATAGAAGACCATAAGGTCTTCTTCATATAAGACTAGAAGGTCTTCTCATAGAAGACCAGAAGGTCTTCTTCATAGAAGACCAGAAGGTCTTCTTCATAGAAGACCAGAAGGTCTTCTTAGAAGACCAGACGGTCGTCTTCTTAGAATACCAGACGGTCGTCTTCTTAGAATACCAGAAGGTCTTCTTCATAGAAGACCAGAAGGTCTTCTTCATAGAAGACCAGAAGGTCTTCTTCATAGAAGACCAGAAGGTCTTCTTCATAGAAGACCAGAAGGTCTTCTTCATAGGAGACAAGAAGGTCTTCTTCATAGAAGACCAGAAGGTCTTTTTCATAGAAGACCAGAAGGTCTTCTTCATAGAAGACCAGAGGGTCTTCTTCATAGAAGACCAGAAGGTCTTCTTCATAGAAGACCATAAGGTCTTCTTCATAGTCTTCTCCAAGAACCAGAAGGTCTTCTTCATAGAAGACCAGAAGGTCTTCTTCATAGAAGACCAGAAGGTCTTCTTCATAGAAGACCAGAAGGTCTTCTTCATAGAAGACCAGAAGGTCTTCTTCATAGAAGACCAGAAGGTCTTCTTCATAGAAGACCAGACGGTCGTCTTCTTAGAAGACCAGACGGTCGTCTTCTTAGAAGACCAGACGGTCGTCTTCTTAGAAGACCAGACGGTCGTCTTCTTAGAAGACCAGACGGTCTTCTTCATAGAAGACCAGAAGGTCTTCTTCATAGAAGACCAGAAGGTCCTCTTCATAGAAGACCAGAAGGTCTTCTTCATAGAAGACCAGAAGGTCTTCTTCATAGAAGACCAGAAGGTCTTCTTCCTAGAAGACCAGAAGGTCTTCTTCATACAAGACCAGAAGGTCTTTTTCATAGAAGACCAGAAGGTCTTCTTCATAGAAGACCAGAAGGTCTTCTTCATAGAAGACCAGAAGGTCTTCTTCATAGAAGACCAGAAGGTCTTCTTCATAGAAGACCAGAAGGTCTTCTGCATAGAAGACCAGAAGGAGGTCTTCTTCATAGAAGACCAGAAGGAGGTCTTCTTCATAGAAGACCAGAAGGAGGTCTTCTTCATAGAAGACCAGAAGGAGGTCTTCTTCATAGAAGACCAGAAGGAGGTCTTCTTCATGAAAGACCAGAAGGTCTTCTTCATGAAAGACCAAAAGATCTTCTTCATAGAAGACCAGAAGGTCTTCTTCATAAAAGACCAGAATATAGAAGACCAGAAGGTCTTCTTTATAGAAGACCAGAAGGTCTCCTTCATAGAAGAGCTGATGAAGGTCTTCTTCATAGAAGAACTGCTGATGGTCTTCTTCATAGAAGAGCTGCTGATGGTCGTCTTCATAGAAGAACTGCTGATGGTCGTCTTCATAGAAGACCAGAAGGTCTCCTTCATAGAAGACCAGAAGGTCTTCTTCACAGAAGAGCTGCTGATGGTCTTCTTCACAGAAGAGCTGCTGATGGTCTTCTTCACAGAAGAGCTGCTGATGGTCTTCTTCATAGAAGAGCTGCTGATGGTCTTCTTCATAGAAGAGCTGCTGATGGTATTTTCATAGAAGAGCTGCTGATGGTCTTCTTCATAGAAGAGCTGCTGATGGTCTTCTTCATAGAAGAGCTGCTGATGGTCTTCTTCATAGAAAAGCTGTTGAATGTCTTCTTCTCATAGAAGAGCTGTTGAAGGTCTTCTTCTCATAGAAGAGCTGTTGAAGGTCTTCTTCTGATAGAAGAGCTGTTGAAGGTCTTCTCATAGAAGAGCTGTTGAAGTTCTTCTTCATAGAAGAGCTGTTGAAGGTCTTCTTCATAGAAGAACTGTTGAAGGTCTTCTTCATAGAAGAACTGTTGAAGGTCTGCTTCTCATAGAAGAGCTGTTGAAGGTATTCTTCATAGAAGAGCTATTGAAGGTCTTCTTCATAGAAGAGCTAAATGTATTCTACACAGAAGAAGATGTCTTCTTTAATACTTCATAGAAGACAGATGACCTGAGGGCCACTTTCTTCGATGTTCTCCATAGAAGAATATATTTTTTTTCATAGAGTGCCCAAAGTTCTTCTCCATAGAAAGCCAGAAGTAGAACAGAAGGTTTTTTTTATGGAAGCCCAAGGGTTCATCTTCATAGAAGTCCCGATGGCCTTCTTCTGGATGGTCTTCCAGGATACCTTCCTTATAGAAGACCTGGCTGCCTTCCTATAGAAGGCCAAGGAGTCATCTTCATAGAGAACCAGAGGGTTTGATCTTCATAGAGGACCAGAGGGTCACCTTCTTCATAGAAAACTATAAAGTCTTCCACTTTTGTTCTTGAATGCCAGTTCGGTCTTCTTCTCTAGGTTCTCTAAAAAAATCGTAATTTTTCTCAGTGTATTTCTTCGAGAATTTTGCCATAAGGCGCACATATTTCAGTATAAATTACCCTGCCATGCAATTTAATTTACATAAATGCCTGACTTGGGCATGACAAATGATAGCCTGAAGTCAAAGTTAATATTGACTTCCTTTTATTGCCTTCTTTCGTCATTTTCCCTGCTCCCTCTGTCTCTCCCCCATTACGCATTGTAATAAATCCATAATTAATTTTATTTTTTTATTTAAATTAATTTCCTTCTGCTTTTCCCTTTTTTTTTTTTTTGCAGATTATGCTCGCTGACAATAACCCGTTTAACAATATTAACACCCCTGCCGGGCGATATGACATCCCTGTCGTTGGCGGTGAAAATGCAAAGTTCCAAGCGTACACTGCGCTCACACGAAATACCCATAAGTGGAGCTAGTTTTATGCAAATTGCCTCGGGCACCGGCAATACATCTGGAGGTGCAGCAACAACAACTAGCGGTGGTGCCAGCGGAGGTGGTAGCCAAGGTAATTCTGGTGGAAATACCGGCAGTGGAGGTGGCTCTAATAACACCACAAATAATGCCGGCGGTGTGAGTAATTTATCGATAATGCAACAGGGCAATACATCACTGACCACGTCAATGCTTAATTCGTCTCAATCGAATATGGGAGGAGGCAGTGGTGTTGGCGTCAGTGGCAGTGGTGGCGGCAACACGCATATGATCGGTACACCCGGAAATATTGGCAATGTGGGTATTGGTACCAGCGGCAATCCGACGGCCGGTCTACTGATGAGTGGCAGTGTGCCATTGTCTGAAACTGAACTGGATTTAAATTTTAGTCTTCAATATCCTCATTTTATCAAGCGTGATGGCAATAGGTGAGTAGTTTCATCCTCCTCGACCTCGTCCAGAGCAATAACAACATTGTGTAGTTAGTTATGTGTTGTTGGTTTGGTTTATTTTCCCCCAACCCCACACCATTACCCCCCCCCCGAATGTCTAGTTTTCGTAGCAACTTTATAATCACATTTAATTAGCATTACCGACCACATCCTGTTACTCCTGTCCCGTCCATTCATTTTGAGCCATCCATCATTTTGCTACACATTCGTTTATAGTTTGCATTCGGATTTTGTTGTTGTTGTTCGAAACAAAGTTTGATTAAAAATCACAACATCTGGTAGTGGCGGCAGTAGCAGTACAACAGCAAAAGCGGCAACTTCAAGCAGCAGCAGCAGTTGTAAACATTGTTCCAGTTGGGTAATTGGTAAACATTTAAACTCATTTGTTATCCTCCAGATTGCTGGGGAGGCTAAACATTGTTGATGGCTGAAAATTGTATAACATTAACTGCGATTTTCTGTGGTTTTTCTTCTTCTTCTTTTTGTTGTTGATTGCAATTGAAAATTTGCTGGGAAATTTTGCATATGGCTAATTTGCCATGTCTGCCAACAGGAAGTATAAAAATAAAATACCTTACGTACGTATGAATTGATTATTATGACCATACATGTATTCAGGGATGGCGTCTTCTTCGTGCAGAACTTTAAAATGTAGTATGCAGGTCATCAAAGGAAAATAGAGGGGAGACTTCTAATATCCTATTTAAAGGCCTAAATGGTCTAAAATTACTATTACTTAAAATAGAATTGAACCGTTTAAGAATGATAGTCATTTTATCAAGGTTTTGGCGTCAATAGCAAAGGCTTAAGAGATTATTCTGGCGGAACTTGGAAGGTAACGTCGACCAAGTCGGGTCGGGTATGGACACTATATTCAAATCATGACTTCGGAGGAGGCACATACAGCTATCTTGGCTCCAGCTTACCGTATATCCACTTCAAAGCCTTGAAAAAAGTCTGTCAGTCGACTGCACTTCTGGGTTCACGTAGGACACCTTATTAGATTATAAGATATAGTTTCTTATAGCCACATGGTCTCGGAAAAAATTTGGGAACTTATCTGTGACTGTTTGCCATTTATTTTGCTATACGACGACTTATAAATATTGCTGAACTAAAAATGAAAATTCGAATTTATATGATCAAAAATGGTTTTATTGTTATTCAAAGTATTCTTCAGCATGATTCATGCACTTCTTTATGGCCTCAAACCAATTCCCGAAGTTACTCCCCGATTGATATATATCAAAATCTTGTTTTTGGAACGAATCAACAACATTTTCTGGTGACCACATTGACCACGTATTTTTTCTTGAGGTGTGGGAATACCAAGACATAATTTGGTGCCAAGTCAGGACTTTACAGCGGATAGCTCATCAACTCAAAGTTTTGTTCTATCAAAAAAGAAGCTGGGTTGAGCCGAAATGTAATAGCTCACATTGTCATGATACACAATAAATCGTGTTCTCTTGTTCTGATTTTGAATTTCGATTGCTTGAGCGGAACATGACCACATGCTTCGAAGAGCTTCTCCACAATCAACTTTAGTTTGTTATACCCTCAACCTTATGACTAATGAGGGTATATACACTTTGAAACGGTGAAAATGTGCCTCATCAAAATATGTTTTAGACCCCATATTTCTTTGGACCAAATCCTTTTCAAAGAATTTGAAGTCAATTTACACATGTCCGTCCGTCTGCCTGGCCGGTTGGTGCGCACGGCAACTCTCGAAAGGAGTAACCAATTTCATCCAAACTTTGCACAACGTAATATTTCTTCCTAACTTAGTTCAAGTTCGAAGATGGGGAATATCGGTCAACTCCTTCGGGTACCTCCCACAAAAAATGGTCAAAATAGTATAAAAAATTAATTTTATAATATCATGCGAACGGACTATATTATTCGAACCAAACTTTGTAGAACCTATTAATCTTTACTAAACCCTCCCCAACAAAGGGTCAAAATGTTCAATATTTCTAAAACTAATATTAGGCGAATGGATTACCCGATTTGAACGAAACTTTGTACAACCTATTATCTTAACCAAGCCTAGATCAACTAGGAAGATGGGACCCATTGGTCCACTCCTTCTGATACCTCCCCCCACAAAGAGTCAAATATTGTCAATATTTTTAAAAACAATATCAGGCGAATGGATTGTCCTTTTTGAATGAAACTTTGCACAACCTATTATCTTTACCAAGCCTATATCAAGTTTTAAGATGGGACCCATTGGTCCACTCCTTCTGGTACCTCCCCCAGAAAGGGTCAATATTTTTAAACCCAATATCAGGCGAATGGAATTTCCGATTTGAACCAAACTTTGCACAACCTATTTGTCCGGTATTTTGAAGGTCCTGTCCAAAATTTCTTTGTGTGACATTTGATAACTCGTTGCATCAAATGCTTGGTCCATATTTTGACATAGCTCCCACATCTGGGTTCATGCCGATTTCAGACCACCTCAAATTGGAGAGTAATAAAATGTTCGGCCCAACGGAACCTAACAAGGTTTAACTTGTTTTTTGATGTTCTCTTCTATTACATGCCTCTCCAAGAAAACTGAATCATTAAATGTAGTCGCATTCGCATTTCGATCGTGTTCTATGGTCTTATGGACTTAAAATCATAATTACAAAAGACAACATAGAAAATCAAACTATTTCTTTTGTAACCTTTTCATCTCATATAATACCAAAACGTCTTCTCAATAATCCAATATATGAGTAGATCCCTTCATAGGAAATCAATTTATCTTATTCTCCTCGAGGATATCTTTTTACAAAAGAAAATATCCCTTAGTCAAGGGTATAGCACCGTTTTGAGCACCATATTTAGGATATTTTTACAACAAATTATAAATACTTTTAGGGTTTTTTTTACAAAAATTTAATTTCAAGTAAAAACGCTTTTAAATGTTGCTCTCATATATAAATTAATTTTTCGCCGACGACTTCCCAAAAATGAGGCCAGAGGTTTTGCAAAAGTGAATTGGGACTGTCTGGCTCTAATCGGTTAAGATTGACCCAGTTGCCTGAAATGGTATTTACTTACTTTGCTGGCTTGTGGCAGAACATTTGTTCCATAAGCCGAGCATATAAAAGTCTTCCAGGCGCGTCGGACTTGTGCGTAGCCTTTCCAATTTGAAAGACCATGCTCCACTTGATGGTATATACAATATTTGGCTATCTCGAAGTTGTAGTTCTCAAGTTTTTCATGATCTTCGGCTGATCTTCTTCTCATAAAAGACAAAAAGAAGCCCACTACACCTTCTCATAGAAAACCAAAGGGTTTTCTCATGGAAAGTATCCGCATAATAGTAAAACAATTTTCTCATTGAAGATCAAACCATATTCACGTAGAAGGTCACAAGGTCTTCATATATAAGACCAAGAAATATCTTATCATGGAGGTGCACAAGTTGCTACCCATATAAGACTATGACCAAGGAGAAGACAAAATGTCTGCTTAAAGAGGAAATAAAAGTCTTCTTCTCGTATACAATAATATCTAAGGATTTCCCATAGGAGACCTACTTGAGCTCGTATATAAAGACTTCCTTCAGCTCGGACTAAGGATATTTGGCCTATCGATTAGATCCTTTGACTCCCTTCAGCCCAGTAAAGACTACTTTCAATTATAATTACACCCTCCATTTCGTATTTAAAGACAACATTCAATTAGTCTATAAAAACCCTTTTTCAGTTCGTCTACAAGCACCTACCCTTCATTTCGAATATAAAGAATTCCAACTGTTCGTTAAAAAAACAACTTTCAGTTTATCTTTAGAGACACCTAGCCCGCCAAAGGTTCTCTTTTAGCTCGTCTATGAAATGTTCTTTTCAGCTCGTCCCTTAAAACTCCCTTCAGTTGGTCTATATAGGTTATTTCCAGCCCTTTTAGAGACTCATTGTAGCTTGTCTATTGAGATTCTTTTCATATAGCCTAAAGACTACCTTCACCACACCGATGAAAGTACCTTTTCAGCTTGTCTATGAAATTCTCTCTCTGGTCGATGAATGTCTCCCTATATCTAGTTTATGAAAAACTTCCTTCATCTCGCCAATGAAAGACTTCCTTCAGTTCGTCAATGAATGACCCCCCTCAGCAGGTGAGCTATTCTATATACATCCATTTAATATAGAGATACTATCTGTAACGCGTTTATAGATAATACTTCCATCTCGTATAAAGACTACCAACATGCCTATGAGAGAATCCCTGGACCATTAAAGGGTTGTTATTTTAACTCGTAGGTAAAGAACCTGCGGTCTTCTATAAAGTCTTCCTGCCTTTCAGCTCATCTATAAAATCTTCCTGACCTTCAGTTCGTCCGTATATATTCCCAGCCCTTCACAGGTCCATAACGTAAACCGGAATTTAGCTCGTCTCTATCCGTATCAGGCAAACCATGGAACGCGTGCTCTCTTTGAGAGTAATTTGTGTGAAAAGAGAGTAAAACGGCTCTCTGTCTGAGCTAGGTCTATATAGACCACTAATAGACAAACTAGAACGATAGCGGTGATGGCTAAACACGTTTTGTTCGTTCTTTTCGTCAGTCTTTATTGTCGATGATCTCTTAGTTACGCTCTCATACACTTACTCTTAATTTTGTTCTGTTCAAAACTAATATAGACCCCCCTACTTCAGTTTATCTATTGAGACTCCCTTCAGTTCGTCTGTAAAGACTCCCTTCATTTTGTGAAGAAAGACTGTCTTCAGTCCGTATATTAGGATGCCATTCAGAACGTCTTTAGATATATGCTTCAGCTCATTCCCCCTATTCAACAGTTTGTTAATTAGGAGTTTGTGACCTACTCGTCTTCTATAAAGAAATTTCAAGAAATTCCCATAGAAGACCAAAGGATACAGGAACAAAATCTCTCATAGGAGACCGATTTTGTAAAGTCGTTTTCACAGAATACTTACTTACTTAGCTAGCTTGTTAGAGAACAGTTGTTCCATAAGCCGAGCTAAAAAAGATTTCCAAGCGCGTCGGTCTTGTGCGCAAGTCCACCAATTTGGTGGTGTTGTTTTCTACTTGGTCTTTCCATCTAATTCGTGGCCATCAGTAGGCTCATTTTTATATGCCTTTTGAGCTAGGGCATTTTCATTCATCCGCACAACATGGCCTAGCCACTGAAGTCGCTGCAGCTCAATACGACTGACTATGTCGATGTCCGCGTATAAATTGTAAAGCTCGTGGTTCATTCGACGCCGATATTCACCGTCGACGCAGATCGACGCAATAGATCTTTCGGAGAATTTTTCTCTCAAACATCCCAAGAGCTGCCTCATCTGCTTGCGCAAGTACCCATGCTTCTGATCCATATAATAGCACGGGTAGTATCAGCGTCTTTTAAAGTGTGAGTTTGGTCTGGCGGGAGGTGGCCTTGTTTCTAAACTGCTTACTTAGACCATAGTAGCATCTGTTGGCCATCACAATCCTTCTCCGAATTTCAAAACTGATGTCATTCGTTTTATTTATGGCGGTACCAAGGTATATAAAGTCTTTAACTACCTCGAAGCTGTAGTTCTCAAGTTCCACAGTTGGTCCGAGTCCACTGGACGTCTTGCGCGTTGATACCAACAACTTGGTCTTCTCGTCGTTTACTGCCAGACCCACTTTGGCAGACTCCTTTTCAATTTGTTTAAAGGTGGCTGTTACCGCTCGCAATGTTCGACCCATTATATCGATGTCATCGGCGTAGACGAGCAACATGTGTTGTTTGGTGCACAGAGTGTCATTTCTCTTCACCTTTCCGTCTCGTATGACCTTTTCCAGTAGGATGTTAAAAAGATCACACGACAAACGGTCACCTTGTCTGAATCCTCGTTCGGTATTGAAGGGCTTATCCTGCATAGCCGTATTAATTTTGCAGGAATGCCGAACGCAGGCATGGCTTTAAACACCTCTGAACGGATAGGGCTGTCGAATGCGGCTTTATAGTCGACAAATAGGTCGTATGTGTCGATGTGTTTTCATGGGTCTTTTCCAGGATTTGGCGCAGAGTGAAAATCTGGTCAATGGTGGATTTGCCAGGTCTGAAGCTGCATTGGTTTGGTCCGATGATGTCATTGACCATTGACTTCAATCGTTCTCACAGCACACTGGATAGCACTTTATATGCGATGGGAAGGAGACTTATTCCTCTATAGTTGGCACATATCATATTGTCTCCTTTTTTGTGCACGGGACACAGGATGCTGTGGTTCCAATCATTGGGCATGCATTCATCTAGCCAAATTGTGCTAATCAGCTGGTGCATGCGCCAGAATAATAAAAATTAATAACAGATCATTTCTTCTTATAAAAATTAAAAAAAATATATATATTCCATAAAACCACTACTATTTTGTCATCGGGGTATTTTTTCATAGTAGGTCAATAGGTCCTCATCTTAAGAACGCATATTCTTCCTTACAACATTTAATACCATTAACCATATCTGTTTTGTCAAATAAAAACACCCTTTGATATCCTTCATTTGTAAATAAATGTCCTTGTCCAGCATTTTGTTTTGTTCGGAAATCCTGCAACCAAATTTCAAAACTCTTGTACAGAGAAAAGCTCCAAAAAAAGGGGGAATACCCTGAATGTCTGATGTGTGTTTAAATTATATCCATTTGTAAAAAAATGTCCCTGTCAAAAACTAGTCCTGCAAAAACATGCATCATTGTATTTGTAAATATATTTCCAAAAAATAAATTTCATAATGTGTCTTGTGTCCCTGAAATGTCCAATTTGTATGAATTTCATACCCAGTTTATTGTTCACGTTCTTTTTCAACTTCTACTACTCTTCTATTTAATTTCTATTAATTCTCTCTCTCTATCTATTCCCCTCCAACACCAAAATCGACAAAATATTCAAACTGCAAATTTGAATCGAAACCATAAAAAAAACAAAATCCGAAATATTGTTAAACTGCTCCTGTGTTGTAATTGTTGCTTGTTTGCCATCAAAAACAAAACCGTCATCCGCCGTCTACTACTACGCATAAATGTAATGTGTGTGTGTGTGTGCGGGAAACCCCAAAATGAAACCAAAATCAAAATTAATTTCTATATCCTGTCAATTTTATACATATAAAAATATATAACAATTTAGTACACGTTATGGTTATCAATTGCCTTCATTCTTGTTCTTCTTCCCGCTACGCGATACCAATGCCAACGTCAACGACAACAATAACAACAACTCACACAGACTGGTCATACTACTACAACGACGCAAAAAATACAAATCACGCACCATACTCGGCTATAAAACCCTGGCCGAGGGCTTCATTCGCATGGATGCTGTATTGCAGAAATCAATGGATATGACTGTGGAATTGACAGCTTCCGGTAAAAATGGCCGACCCGGTACAACAGTTGCCTGTTTACGTGCCGAACGTGTTTCGTCCATTCCCGTCGATCATGACAATAAAAATAATAATAGTGTCCTATTGGCAGGTATGTATAACGATTGATTTTGTTCCTTATATATGTATATAGTTTGTATGTATCTACGTATATGTGTGTGGGTATTACTTGAAAACTTGATTTGAAACGTCTTTATCGATAGAGCCGACAGCAACGGCAAATAAAATTCATTCACATAATATTTACGTTAAAGAACTGTGAAATTTTACGATTTGCAATTGAAATGAATGTAAAAACTAGAAGAGAATCACGTGCGAAATTGTATCAAGGAGGGTTTTATGTGGTATAACGCCATATAAAAATCAACAGCTTGGCTGAGTATTGTGATTTTTATTATAGCCGTATTTTTGAAGAGGAAATTGGAATAGTTTTGTTATAATATAAAGCAAAAATCGATCATTTGAATAAACGGATTTATTGGAATTTACGGAAATACAAGTTTTTACTACAGAGATGTGCACGTTGGCCGGCTTTTAACAGGCCGTTTTATGGGCTCTCCTTTTAACCGACTTCTACAATACCTAACTCTCTTTCGCAGTGAAATATTGTGCCGAGGACTTCTCCACATTCAGATACATCCTCGATGAACCAGATTGTGCTCAGGCTATTCACAGTTTTCTCCTCTGTTCTAGTCGTTTTCACAGTGGAGGATGGTGTGAAGGTCTTCTCAGCTTTCAGGGACTCCCTCGAAAGTCCTGATTCGTCAAAAATCTTTGGTATAATTTTCCCCGCTGTGCACACACAGTTTTCTCCTACGTCGGAGGCAGGTCGACATTCTTTCGATCAAAAAGTTCTTCGCAATGTCATTCCCATAGTTCCATGAGAACTTTTGATTCAATTTATGGTGCCTCTTGATCTGATTGAATCCATTGCCTCTAATCTAATACATATCCCTGAGGCTAACCGCTTTCCAGAAAAACTTTTCGACGGAGACTTCTTGGACATTGACCCGTTTGGTGGTTGCTTGTGTTGATGAGTTGTCCATCGCTTCAATGGGAAAGTCATCGAAACTAGTACTCACTGGCCATTTGCTATGGAATTCACCTCTTTCGGATGCTTCGGAGGGGTAACTGAAGCCATCTGCACACGTGACGCCGGACTTCTTTCGATCAGGAAGAGACTCTCAATGTTATTCGGTTGGTTCCATGAGAACTTTCGAATGAATTTGAGATTTTTGATTTGTTGAAGCGGTTGCAGAAGTTAAACGCTCACCTGTAGATCTTTTTATTGCAGACTTTATTGGCATTGACACGTGATTGCTTGTGCTGATTAATCGTCCGTCGCTTCAATCGGAAGGTCATCAACGCTAGCATCCTTTTCAATGGACACTGAAGCCCCCTCCGTTGGACAGGTAAATGAAGCTACTTCCACTCCCTGCATCGGATTTTTTTTCGATCAATAAGTTCTCCTCAATGCCATTCGGATAGTTTCGTAAAAACTTTTGAATGAATTTGAGGTTTCTCTTGATCTAAAGAAATGAATTATCGGTAATCGAATCCTTATCCCGTTCGATCAACCGCTTGAAGAAGTTAATCGCTTTTCCGTAGTTCTTTATGTCGGAGACTTCTTTGATATTGGTCCGTTTGGGAAGGTAACCCTTAATGGGAAGGTCATTTAAACTAGCGTCCATTTCAATTGTTTCGGAAGTCTGAAAAGCCATTGTTCGCCATGGAGTTAAGATTTCCATCCTCGCCAAAATTCATGTCCTCACCCATCATCTTCGAGAACTCACCTTGATTAAGAGGAGTCACTTCGATTACCATTGTGTTGATCACGGTCGGGATATTTTCTTGACTAATTGGTCAGCATATTTTCTTGACTAAGGATAAAGGATTCGATTTGCTCAATCAGACCCAAAAGAATGTCCGTGTGTCTCTCTAGGCTCGGGATACTTTCATGACTGAGGCGGAAAGAACCAGTTTCCTCAATCAGATCGAGGAGAAGGACCGTGTGTCTCTCCAGGGTCGGAGACTTCTTTGACAATGGTCCGTTTGGTAAGGTACGCTTTAATGAGAAGGTCATTTAAACTAGCGTCCATTTCAATTGCTTCGGAAGTCTGAAAAGCCATTGTTCGCCATGGAGTTAAGATTTCCATCCTCGCCAAAATGCATGTCCTCACCCGTCATCTTCGAGAACTCACCTTGATTGAGAGGAGTCACTTCGATTACCATTGTGTTGATCACGGTCGGGATATTTTCTTGACTAATGGCTCAGCATATTTTCTTGACTGAGGAGAAAGGATTCGGTTTGCTCAATCAGACCGAAGAGAAGATCAGTGTGTCTCTCTAGGCTCGGGATACTTTCATGACTGAGGCGGAAAGAACTAGTTTCCTCAATCAGATCCAGGGTCAGGATACTTTCTTTACTGATGGGGAAAAGCCGTTTTCCTCAACCAGATCAAGTAGAAGGTCCGTATGTCTCTCCAGGCTCTGGATACATTCTTGACTGAAACACCTCCTTCCTCAATCCGATCTCTCCAGGCTCGAGTTTATGCCTTCGAGAGTAACGGCGTCAATGTTCTGAGCCATCAACACAATTCCAAAACGGTTGCGCAAAAACATGTGTATACCTTGAAAACAGGTGTGTAGGTGTGTGGATTAATTATCCATCTCTTTCGAGTCGAGCTTGACTATAAATAATCAATTCAAAAAAAGGAGTTGAGAATATTTAAAGAAAACTCCGGTGATACATTAGTAGTGGTCGATATCATTGTGGATATTAAATTTGTTTTTAAAACTACTCTTGTAGAGGTCGAGTAGGAGGGTTCCAAGGCAGCCACACCAACCTCAGTCGCTTCAAATGTCTTCAGTTGACATTCTAGAAAATGGCAAAAAGAACCACACAAATTGTTGAAGAGGTTAACGCTCTGTGCATATTTCGGACCAATATATTAAGGCAAAACTTTTGGTAGACTACGAGGGCTGCAGAAAAAATTCTGCAAATCACTAAATTGTTCTACCAGCTTGAACTTTTTTACAATTTTTTGTTTGCTTCTTGAAACCATCGCCAATTTACTTGACTAGTCGATGTATTAGTTTAGTCAATCATTGTTTTTTTTTTAAGCTAAATAGTCAGGCCTAGCCTGTCTTAGGGCTGCCATCTATCGTTACCTGAAAACAACACCTCCTTCCGTTTCGTTCAGGGGTTGCTTATTAGTGTTGCGCTATCTTATTTTGTGTTAACCTTATGTGTTGATACCGATGTTGGATATTAGAATGTCGGGGGCTATTGATGCATTTCGTGTGGAGACAGATTTGAAATATGTTTTCTTTGTAGTCTGACACGCTAACCTTCCCCATAACATAGCGTCAAGCTATTATGTGCAACTTCAGATGAAAAAGCCTCAGGAGTCCAGATCTGAGGTGTAACATGGTGTTAAAATGAATTTTTGCCCTTTCACAAATATATCTATGAAGTCTTCGAAATAGGAATAAGGGACGACTGGTCTACGCCTTTTAATCGACAAAATGTGGATTTAATGGGTCATCCGCCATACAATGACGACAGGTGTACTTTAAATTTTGAAGTTCTCCTATACATGTACCTTTTCGAAGGCAAACATTGCATTCTATTTTTTAGAAAATTTTCCGTTTAGTTACTTGTTATTCACTTGAAATTTCAGGGAATCACCTCTGACGATCTTTTTACATAACTTTTTTTCAATCTCCCACGCATCCTACTTATGCTCTTTAGGTATTAAAATGAATCCGATTACGAATTAGGAAAAAACAAAATACACCCTGCTACATAATCAGAATTATCCCACCGCCATTACCGACGCAACGCAAATATTTGCATTAAGACGTAAATCCCAAGTTAACCAACATCAGCTCACCATCAACACAGGAAACTTGTAGAATATCCACAAAAAGAATTGAAAACCGCAAAAAGTTAAACAGCACAAAATTATTTCGTAGAAAGAAAGGAAAGAGCCCAGCAGGAAAGGAGGTGGTGAATTTTTCTTTATGCACATTCATAGCACCACATCTCACTTCCAAGTGTACGAGTATTTAAATTATTTAGTGGTTTATAAATAGAAAAAAAAAAACACGACAAGAAAAATGTTTTGAGGCAATGCGGTGTGATGTTGGAAGACAACCTCCAACCTACCTGTATGTCTCTAACATTGGAAGTTGTACAAATAAAACCCACAAAAAAAAAAGAGATTTAAGAAACCACAACAAAACGCTAAACGAAAACCACTGGAACTATCAAAAGAAAAGCCACATAGCACCACCCCACATACTGCCACCGAACAGTGTTAGTCTTGGCCTCCTTTTTTGAGAAAATGTAAAAAAGGTAAAAATGTAAATTTCAAATTGGAACTGTGACAAAGAAACGAAACTTCTGTTACTCTTATGATGCCTTTATACCAAGCCAAGTGGAGGATACACAAAGAATTTGTAGCCAATGCCAAAATAAATAGGAAAACTATGCAAATATTTCAAATCAGCAGAAAGGAAAATGAGAAAAGGAAGTGAAGTCAGAGTAGACCATGGTGTACCTTTCTTTCCGAGAGTTAGATTTATTTAAAATATTCTCTTAATTGCTTCTTTTTTTAATAAACTAATTCTGAGCGAATATATTTCATAAATCGGGTGTTTTCCTACCGGGTATAAAAATATATAATAAAAATTTCCTACAGGAAATTTTTTCTAATATTTACTACATGCCGAGTACTTTTCTTTAATAGAAATTTCTTACAGTGCACTTTTCTTTACTAAAAAATTCCTACTAGGTACCTTTATTTAATAGAAATGCCCTACATGTTACTTTAATTTAAAGAATTTTCTAAAGGCCACTTTTCATCATTCAAATTTACTGCCGGGTATTTTTCATTAATCAAATATTTCTCCGGGTATTTATAATTAATAAATGCTTCATGCTAGGTACTTGTTTTAATATAAATTTAATGCCGGGTTCTTTTGTTTGATAGTAATTTCCCACACGGGTACATTTATTAAATAAAATTTTTCTTTACATTTATTTAATAGAAATTACCTACCGGGTACGTCTACATAATAGAATTG